TTCACGAAGCTGCCTCTCGTCTACTTCTTGGATGTCTCGAACAACTATCTTTCCGGCAACCTTGGAGAACGAAAATGGGACATGCCGTCGCTTGAAATGTTGAACTTGGCCGGAAACAGATTTTCAGGGAAGTTGCCACATTCATTCGGCAGCCAAAAGATTGAGGTCTTGGACCTGTCGAGGAGCGGATTTGCTGGTACTATTCCACGTAGTTTCGGAAGCTTAGAGGAGTTAATGCAATTGAGCCTATGTGAAAACAAGCTAATCGGTGAAATCCCCGAGGAATTGTGTTCATGCAACAAGCTCGTGAGTCTAGACTTAAGCCATAACCAACTCAGTGGTCGAATTCCAACAGGTTTCGCAGATATGCCGGTTCTTGGTCGTCTTTATTTGTCGGAGAATCAATTATCCGGTCAAGTACCGCCGCAGTTGGGGAAAATGGAATCGTTAATTCAATTGAACATTTCTCACAACCATTTACAGGGTAGTTTACCGTCTACCGGGGCCTTTCTAGCTATAAATTCAAGTGCAGTGGCTGGTAATGATCTTTGTGGAGGAGATGAGACGAGCGGTTTACCACCATGCAAAAAGGTAAAGCATCGGGATTGGTGGTTCTTCTTTGTTATTTGTCCTCTCGGGGCTTTAATTTTGCTCGTTGTTGCTGCTTTTGGCTTCATGTTCATTCGACGAAGAAAGAATTTGGAGCTGAAAAGAGTGGAAAACGAAGATGGAATATGGGAATTGCAGTTCTTTGATTCCAAAGTTTCCAAGTCAGTCACAGTCGATGATATCAAACTCTCTGCAAAGGAAGTCAATGGTATTTGCAGAGGCAAGTCGTTCGTGGTGAAAGAAATGAATGAAGTGAACTTGATTGCACCGAGTTTTTGGTCTGAAATCAAACGACTCGGCAAGCTTCAGCATCCGAACATTGTTATTCTGATCGGAACGTGTCGGTCGGACAAGGGTGCGTATTTGTTTTACCAGTACATAGAAGGGAAACTTTTAAGTGAAACCCTTCACAATTTAACCTGGGAGAAGCGGCGAAAAGTCGCTATGGGGATTGCCAAAGCTCTACGATTCTTGCATGCCTATTGTAAGCCAAGTGTAATCGTCGGAGACATGTCACCGGAGAGAGTTATCATCGACGGAAAAGATGAACCTCGGTTACAGTTGAGCCTTCCTGGACTGTTTTCCATAGCGAACAAGCCCTTCATATCTTCTGCGTACGTCGCACCAGGTACGTGACATAGTAAAGCCCTTTTTTTAGTTGAAAAAAAAATTCTTGGCAAGATATTCATGGGTCAAACCAGAAGTTATGAGATATTATTATGTCTTACATTCTACGATTATTGTGTCTTAATATTCATTAATATTTCTATGAATTAATGCACGTGCATGTTATCTAATATTTTCTTGCATATTTTTCCTCTGTTGGCAGAAGCTAGAGAAAGCAAAGATATGTGTGAAAAGAGTGATATCTATGGATTTGGCCTCATTCTGATCGAATTATTAACGGGGAAAAGCCCCGACGATGGTGAATTCGGGGAGCAACACCAAAGCATCGTAGAGTGGGCCCGTTACTGCTACTCAGATTGTCATCTTGATACGTGGGTTGATCCCATGATCAAGCCAAGCCATGCATCCAACGCCAACCCGAGCCAGATCGTTGAAGCCATGAATCTAGCTCTCCATTGCACCGCCGGCGACCCCATGGCTCGGCCATCCTCAACCGACGTATCGAAAACTCTACAATCCGCTTTCAAAATAACTTCCTGTGGTTCAGCCCTAAAGTTTTCTTCAACTGTTTAGGCTTTCTAATAATAATTGCACAGCATGACTTTGTTCAGAATTTTGGTTAATTTCCTCTTTGTTTTCCCATGGTTTCGAGTTATAACTAAAACGATCGTCATCACTCAAATGTTTTGTTTGATGGTATGCTGAATACATACTAATGAGTGTAAAATTGTAGATAATTTAAATGCCTTCATATATGAACTACATCTTCTGTTAAGTATCTTATTCTCAGATCTTCTATGCTTCCATGGCTCATCACTGCACTAATTAAGTTGCTTACACGAGTTTGTAAGTATTAATGGTCCAACCTTTTCAACTTAAATGATTTCAAAATATAAATCGAGTAAGTGGATTTCCCCCTGGAAAACCCACTCTGTATCAAGCGGAAAAAAACTTGATTGAAATCTCCTTTTATGGAATGAAAGAGAAAAAAACTATATAAGACATCTTGTTTTCCCACCTATGACTGGCTGACATGCGTAGAGAGACCATTGTTCTCTTTTACAGATTGGTTTTAAACTTGAAAATGGCATTTAAGGATTAGATAGAATTCACATGGATTTGGAGTCTTGGACTCAACATCATGCCCTACTTCCTCCACTTTCATTTCCCTTTTGTCTTCCCTCTTTCTTGTAGGAATTTATTCCCCTTTTTTTCTTTACACTTTTGTTTTCACTTTCTCATTTCTAGTTAACCAATTTTTTTACCACATCACTTAAATCTTTCAAATGGAATTCTGATTTTCAACAGGGACTTGGAAAGATCCTTCTGCTATTTACCCAGAGACAGTGAGGGCAACGCACGCCTTGTTTGTTCTTTCTGCAAATTTATATAAATATTTGTTAAATATAACACATGCTTGCCAAAAGCTACAGTCACGGTTCACAAAGGGAATTGGTTGTTGCATAATTAGATGGATTGAGAACTATATTTATACGTGTGTGTGTGTGAAAGTTTTGGCTTTCAACGGCAGTGAAAGGCTTGGTTTCACGCCCAGCAGCTACCTGTTAGGTCAAACAGCTAGAAAACAGGGATAATTGCTCATTCTGAAAGGGGGCCGCTTTCTGTAATAAAAATCCTGATGTCTTGATGATGATATTGTTTGTCATATTGTCGGACCACTATTCATATGTACAAAAGCAAACTGCTAAAGTCTAAAACAATGTCTGCCCTTTTATCCGTTAACCTCGCATTCCAAGAGTTGTTCATGCTTGACAGGCAATGATAAAAGGATTTCAATATTCAAATGTCTGCAGCTCATGATGATATAAGGAAAGAAAAAATAAGAAGCCTATTTGCATAAATAAATAACCAAGTGTTTTGAAGGGATGGAAATACTTTGTTAAAGAGTTTGATTGTGGATATTCTAAATGACATGGGGCTAGCTCGTTTCTTTTCTAACCTTTCTTGTGACAAACTTTTGCCTTCAAGGGGCAATGATGATGCTGAAGGGTTTTATTCTTTTTTTTTTCATTCTCTGTAAGCAATGATGGCGTTGACAAAAATCATTTTCCTTTTCCCTTGTGCCCAAACAAAACATATGGGGAGGAGATGAGCTCACATTGTTGGAAGATTCCATCAGTAAAGGGGCTTTAAGCATTAAAGATTTACAAGAACTTGGTGATATTTGGAGGAGTAAACCAGCTCAGTTTTGCTGGCACAGATACGATTTTTGAAATGTTATCTTAAAAAGCTTGGAGATATCAATTATGGGTTTTTCTTGGAGACCATGCAAAAGTCTCTTCGATCGGCTGCTTTCTTCTAAAAAGAAAGCTCATTTTGTTTCTTTATAATTCTTGTTTGATTCAATGGGGCCACAGTTGCAGATCTTCTGTTTGAAAGTTTTCCTCTATACATACCAATTCCAAACCTTTTTATCCAAAAAGTTCTCTTTTTGCACATCACAAGAACGAAACGTGTTTACATATCTCATCAACCACCCACTGGATTTCTTGGTATGGGAGAAATGAAAAATGGGATGATCGTGCAGTTTCAGTTTGACCAACCTATTAGAATATACTTTTAAAACCATTTGCTCACATTTTTTGTTATACCATGCTACCATCAATTTGACCTTTCATTAATTAGGGGGACGGAAGCTTAAATCATAGCCAATTAGTTGGTAACTCAATATTTTCTTGGAATGCAAACACAAACATTATTAAAAGTCGTAACTTCCTGGAATACAAGTATGTAGACAATCTATTTACCATGATTTAATCTAGTCTTGTTCTCTACTACAGTATGTTCTACTATGTTGTTATGTCTTCTCACCTATGTAAAATAACCATCTACACTTATTGACATAGTGCCAAAATGGTTCATCAAAAAAGTAATCAGTGTGTTTCTAGATTCTCTCAAAACTTTATTCCCTGCAATTTTTTAAAATAACTTTCTTATTTGATTTGGTGGAGTAGGTATAAGAGATGTACTTCAAGTATGTGAGGTTTAAATGTATTCAGTAGTTGAATAATCTTGATATGGATTGACATTGACTCAAGATGTGAAAGAAATTCAGACGTTATTCTTTTTGTCTTCGGCTAGGCAAATTCGTTAATCAACATGAGAAAAAATGGGATCTTAATGGTCAAATTTGCTTCACCACTGTTGGTCAGTTCAAGGAAGCAGAGTCTTGAGGACAGGAAGGATATGGAAATCATTTTAGTATTTTTAGTGGAAGTCTTTAGCACAGCACATTGTAAGTTAGGAGGATGACAAATTCTTGTCTTCCAATTGCACAACGAAGGGGGTGGAAAGGGATAAAGGGTCAGGCTCAGCGTTAAATCTGAAAGCAAAAGAATCAATAGAGGTAAGTTAATAATTCATTATCTGATTTTTTACACATTTCAATAGAACTTTTACTTTATCCAGCAATAACAAATTTGACTGATGTTTTGTCGTTTAAGGGATATAAAAAAAGAAACGGGTGATCATCAATACCATAGGATCTAAGTCTAGATTCCATGTTAGATGCTCAACATCATGTTCCTTTGGAAAACCATTGCCACAATGAAAATGACATGCATACACATCAGTACTTTGCATGGATCAAGTAAACAAGGAAATTGTACGGGTTCTGTAAGAATAAAAGAACATGCTCATGGATAAATGTAAATGATATGTGTAAGCAGGGTGAATCATAGACATTGGATTTGAGGGGTAAAACGAAGCAAAGGGCACCCGAGAGAGATCAATGAAGCAAATACAAAAATGGGGTTACAATCGAGGGCCCCCGGAGATTCCATTAGGTTCAACATCCTTATAACAGTGTCATTTCATCATCAGTTAAAGGTTTCTGCAAACTAAGAAGACTAAATAAATGGAAAGGGAAGTCCTTCTAATCTAGTTGTTGTTCTAAATCTTATCTTCTCTGCCAATTTTCAAACAAAAGACCAGTTGATGAACATGAAGCAGATACAGTGAGCATTTTCTTCATCATTTACCACTTTCCAAGCGACTGCTCTCTCGTAGGAGATTGACCTCCCCATTCTTGACAAGCAGATACCACCTTGAAGGCACATAAAACCCTGTCCAACCATATCAATCATCATTATTATCAACCTCATAAGTTTATTTTTTTCAATTATTCATTTCAAAGAATATGATATTCACATATACCTGCTGCATCACTTGTGGGAACTCCGCAAATAGAGCTTTTCGTCCATTGTCATCGAAAATTTTCTCCAAAGTTATGTCCTGAAGTGCTACTAAGGTTGTTTCAAGCATGTCAAGTCCTGCTTGATTAGCAAATGTAAAAACTGGTAGTGCCTGCATATATTACCAAGTAGATTATAATTTGTAGCAAACAAGACAATTTTCAGAAAATCTTAGAACTCTATCGGGAGAAATGGGAAAGGAAAGTATAAGGAACTACCTTCAAAGAGCAGCATAAAACTGCTTCGGTGTGATGCCAAAGCGTTTTTAGAATCGATTCACTTCCTTCATATTCCAGCAGCTCAACTCCGAGATAGCACCTGCAAAGAGATGAACAACACAAAAATAGTGGTTAGCTTGAGTCTGGAATGACGTAATTGGCATTAGATACAAGGATTAGGTTCATAATTCAGAGAAACAGGAATAAAATGAATAAAAGGGATTTGATTGACACACCTATAGCTCTGACAAATCCAATGAGCAAGCGTCTGTGCTTCAGGAGTACCAGGAGGTGTCCGAAAACCAGCATGAGAGCCTAGATGGGAGGGAGAGAGCGCCAATGCCACCCTTTGAACAGAAGCAATAACACTACGGACATATTGCCGAGCCATGATAGCCACATTTTCTTGAAGGTTGATCTCATACACAAATTGGAATGCTATTGTCATCACAGACTTTGTGCTTCTATAATGACCGGAATTATCACCAGTTGGTCTGTTTCCAGCAGCTCCAACTTCAAGAGTTGAGGCAAGGTCGAGTGTACGATTTGGACTGGATGCATCCTACATAAGGTTTAAATTCGTTTTGTAAGAAACTAACCTGAACAAAACTAAACAAAAAAAAACAAAGTGATAAAAAGATACTAAATCAAAGTTTAGATAGTATCATGCATGTAAAAAAATTACCATTCCAGAATCAAGAGGGATGATGCGAAAACCGGAAGGAATAATAGGTGCATCATCAGAGAATGAAGCATCAATGGGGGCAAAGATGAGTTCAGCACAAGTGCCAACTGCATTCTCATCAACTCCACTACAAAGCTGAGAGATATATACAAAGAAAAACATAAATTACCAATAAAACAAGAATTATACGAGGAAATGGAAGAATGACAACGAAATAAAACATAAGTTGAGGGGTTGTAGGTGAAAACCTACGTACCTGCAACAGGAAGATATCATTGGGCATGATCATGTCCTCTCGATAGTGGCCCATATTTTCAAGCTTAATGACCTCCATGAACTGCAACAAAAAACGAGGAGCAATCAGAATATTTTATGCCAATTGATGCCAAGGATTATACTGTAATCGCCAAAGTTCGGCAACAAATTACTTACCTCTTCATTCTCAATAGTGTGAGCCAGAGGAAGAATGACCTGACCGCCAAAACTTCCACCTCGAACTACTGGCAATCCACATGGACCAGCTTTGACAGCAGCAGCAGAGTAAGCATCAATACCACTGTCTGCCCACTCTGATCGATGTTCTCGCAAGAATCTGAGAAGTATGGCTGGCGGCACGTTCTACAAATAAAACCAAAGCACAGGTTCATAAAAAAGATACATGTTTGATTAGAAATTATAATATGTATTGTTTCATGTCACTAGATCTTCTGCTGTTAATGACAAATTTGCAACACAATTAAGCCGCTGACCTGGAGTAACATGGATGCTTTGGCACATAGAACCGCATTGCCCATCGAAGGAAATCCATTGCCATAAGAAAGATTTATGCCCATCATCTTGCTTGGAGATGAGTTCACAAGTAGGGTAACATCATCAACACCATCACTTTCCAACATAGACCATCCTTCATCGGTAAATCCATTAACAGACTCATTAAATCCCCTGGACAACAGAATTTGTTAGATTCCATTCCATCCATTTTAAAAAAATGAATTCTGAAGGGCTGGATCAACATACTTGTACAACTTCCGACTAAGTGCACGAAGGGCAGCAGGTCTTCTGCCCCAACCTGTAACATTTGGCTGAGATATTTCTTGTGAAATCTGCCTCAAATGACGCAAGGCCTGCACAAGTTCCGAACCAAAGGTTGAATCACTTAACTACTCTGCATTATCTTGGCACTAAATAGAGTTCACATCTTGCAAAAACTGTAATTATAGATGCAGAGAGAGGTCTTACCGCCATTGTTGTTTTCTGAGCAAGTAATGTTGAGGATTCATAAAGAGGGCGCAACACTTCAGGAGCGCTCCAAGGCTGCATATAAGAAAATAGAAAATTGATATTTTTGCCTCTTTAAAAGAATGCCAGAGTTTCAAAACCGAAGCATGGTGATTTACAAACCTCCAAATCCATGTGATCAACTATGTGAATGATGGATCCTCCACCATCACAAGGTCTAATTAGATAACCACTAGGCAATAATTCTCCTCTCACAAAATTTGCAGCTGGCGGCATACTTGGACCATTCTGAGTGTTGTTAAGTGATCTTTCACATATCTAAGCAGCATATCACAATTATAAAAATCAGAATATAAAATCTATTCTGACAACATTAACTCAAAGGAACAGCAAAAGCTCTATAGGAAACATACATACCACAAGACTACCGTCCTCCAAAACAGAAGTATAGCGCAGGAACCAAAAGTCTCGAGCTGGTGCCAATGTTGTTGGGGCATAGAGCTTAAGAAGAAGGCAACCGAAATTTAGAACTCTTACGAAAAGCAATTGCACCATTAATTTCATACTTAAGTTGCAAATTAAATGCGAAATAAATGGGAGCTTGGCTAACCTGCATATAAAGCAGTTCAATGGTTCCACCATTTCCAGTGGACAGCATGTTTATAACATCCACAGCTCGGCAATCACGATACCATGAAAGCCGATCTTTAAGGATTTCCGCGACCTACATGAAAAGAAAAAAAATGTCATTTAATTCTTCTCCAAATTTGACCCAGGAAAAGAAATATCCTCTCAACAGGAAGCAAAAATGAACTCACTCTTGTAGGATCTAGTCCCACAAGTCCGCATGCACGTGCCGCCACACGACTGCGACCATGAGAAATTGCAACGATTCCAATGGAATCCGGACCAGGCTGCACATAAAAGGAAGATATGAGCATCTAACAGTAGGAAATATCGGTGCATGAATCTGAAATCAGGATCAAACAGGAAAATTTTTCCATTTGATATCAGATTAATCATTGTAAGACCAGAGCATGTTTGAGTATTAACAGCATGCTATATGTTCCTAACACTTTCTCCATTTTAATATTAATCAGTATTAGTCATTAACCATTTTTTTTGCCCTCCAGTTCCAAAGTTTTGTCCTGACTAATCTAGACCGATCTGGGTCGCACACCTAATTTTGGAGTGTGAGTCGTCTAGGGAAGATTTTCTGCATAGACTCAAACCCGATATCTTACTTAAGCGATATCAAATTACTTATCACTTGAACTAATCCCGTCTGTAATTATTAACCATTCATATAGAATATAGAAATTGGGGGAAAAAATCCCGTAACATATTTTTGGAAGCCCATTAGTCAAAGAAATGATTTTTTTTAAATCAAACTCGTATGAGATACAAGGGAATAGTAATTAGTAACCTATAGAGAAATGGGACAGTGGGGTTGTCCTCGATATTGACATAACAAATATGTGTTTTGATGTTGCCTAGAAGATTAGCAAGATTTTACGCTTTGTTTTATATAAGATTTTTTGTCCATAATGACAAAAGAATAACGGAGTATATAATAGTATAACAAAGAATAAAGGTATAATGAGAGAAGAAAGTGAGAGAGAGCAGTGACCTTCATCCCAGGCATTTGGACCCACTCAACAGCAGTTCCAGTAGCCTTTGAAAGAAACTGTGTTAAAGTTTCCTCTGCAATGGACAAAAGTCTGGAAAGCAAAGGCCCATAAGCAATTATACAGCAACAAAACAAAGGTTTAATTTTTTATAGAAAAACGAGGAACGAAAGGGACATAACAATGGGAGTAAACCAGTAAGAAAGAATTCCCACTAACCCTGCAGGGCTGGCATCCCTTGGAGGATGCTGAGGAGTCAAATGATGTTGACCACTCGTCACTAGTGATTCACAGCTTGTATCCGTGGTGGCTAGGGTCGTCTGCAACCACAACAAAACCACCGCTGTTAACAAAAGATCCAATAATTCGAAGCAAATCTAACACTTGATAATATGATTCTAAGGTTTTCTTCCTCTCCTTTTAAGATAAAGTTGTTACATTTTGAGTCTGTTGGCGGAAATAGCTGTTTTCATAAACAAGCTGTGAGACTTGCTTTTGTAACCTATCATTCTCCTCCATTAACAGTTTATTCATAGCTGTCAACTTCCTGTTCACAGCTTGGAGGCGTGACGCTTCTTTTCGTTGTTTTTCTCTACATCTGAAAATTATCAAAAAGGAAATGGTAAGTTACTGTATACCAGATCATGCATGGGTAGGGTTGTTTTAGATGACCCAATGTTTGAAGATTTGGAAAAATATGTACCTTCGATTTTGGAACCAAACTTTAATCTGTTTGGACTCAATGTTGGAGAGGATGGGACACTCACGAATGAGCTGTTGGCGACGCATGGAGCTAGGCTTAGGACACTCAAGGTACAGACGTTCTAAAGCTTCCACTTGCTCCGGCGTGTACCTTACATACTTGCCATTATCCATTGCTATCCTGGTCCCTTCTTTGCAGGATGAGGTCACCGCCATCATCACGTCTATAATCCCCTTCAAAAACCAACGACGACTAGTTTCAATATATATATATATACACCCCAAAAAAATCATCAAAGCATTCATTCTCAGAAGTATAAGTAATATCATATAGTAATCAAAAGAAGCAGTGAGATTGATTACACCGTTTTCTTCTCCGGGAACTAGGGAAACACCAACGGATCACCGTTGAAGCTTCAAAGATCCATTCTTCGAATTCTCAGAATGGAAAAAAAGAGCTTTTTCCTCGTATACCAAATTCTGAGCTTTGGGTAATTTAGCTTTTGGTGTTTTAGCAAAGGGAAACACTCTCTAGGAATGAAAAATTTTTCTGAGACGAATCCTCTTGATCATGTTAAACAGATACCAGATTCAAAACAGCCGTTGCCGTTATGTTTGATGGAGGAGCAAAGAGGCTTCTGTCTACTGCTTGAAGGTGGTGTTATATATGAAGACTGAAGAGGAGGAGAGATGATTTGATACGGGGGAAATAGCATAGGGAAAAAGAGAGAGAGAGAGAGAGCACCCTTAATACCTGACAGAATATCAGACTTTGTTTTTTTGTTTTCAAATCTCAAATCTCAATCATCATAATACTATTACTTATGCTGCTGCTGCTGCTTTCTTTTCTTACTTTTTTTCTCTCTTTTATCAAAGAAACTTAAACAGACCGCCTCTTCGGTCTTGGCCTCCTAAAATATGCAATTAAGATACAATATTCAACATTAGCAGCTAGTTGATCTAGTGGTACTAAGTCTTTTAGATTAGGTCAATAGTTCGAGCTCTAACGTTTATCAATAGAGTAAATTTGATTGAGAGGATCATTCTCGCATCTAAAATATTTGATATGAATTAATCAATCAATAAATCAAATATCAATGATTAATTCAAAAAAAAAAATTAACGATTAACTTAGTAGGATCCACACTCCCAGTTCCAGCGCATGCTCTTCAAAATCTTCCACTTCATCCATTTCTTTAATATCACACGTCAATTTTTAGAATTTAGATGAAAAAATTAAATACTTTAGGTACCTATTTTGATTAAAAAAAGAGATAAGTTTAGTACTTATTTTGACCAAATACTACTTTAGGCACTTAGATGAAAAAAACTTACTTTAAATACTTATTTATAATATAATCCCATAAATAGAGATATCTTTTACATAATAGGTGTTGAAAATTAAAATTTAAAATGTCGTTGATAATTTTTAAAATAGATGGTTAAAACCTTTCGGTTTATAACTCTTATCTCTCTTAAGTAATGGGTTTAATACTTATTAGGAATAAAACCCTCCTTCCTCATTCCCTTAAATAGAAATTGTTCAAAAAAAATTATATTAAATTTTAATCATTAAATAAGACATATGCCATTAATATATATATAAATTAATTTTTATACAATAATTTTACTATAAATATATAGTTATTTTGAAAAGCATATTTTAAAATTTTAGTTAATTTTCACAGTTGTTGTAAATTTAATAATTTTATTAAAAATTACAAACACAAAGGTAATTATATTACTACAAATAAAATCGATTATTATGAATATAAAGCAGACATAATTCATATAAAATTTAAATAAAAAACTATTAAGACATAACAGACAACTAATTTATAAAAAAAAAACTAAAATAAATCTTAATATGAAATCTTATTATTTCAATCGAATAAATAATTAATTAAAGTATACGGATGGTTTGATTTATTAATGTGTAACTCATAAGGTTCACGTATCAATATCATTAATATAATATTGATTCAAGTCTGGCGTATAATGATTTCTCCTATTATAAATTTAACGACGAATCTCTCAAGTTGTTTACATTTATTTTCAAGATTATATCAGATACATAGATGATTACACAATACAATGATATTAAGAGAAAATAAATGAAAAGGAAGGCGTGAATGTGCATGGGTTCAGGACAGAGAATTATGGAGGAGTCTGCATGCGGCCTCGAGTTCCCAAATCACCACCTTTTCTCTCTCATCCTTCTTTTTTTATATTTAATATAGATTAGTACAAGATAATATTTATTCGAATATAACTCTCGACCTCTTGACATTGAACGCCCACACTCATAGCATTCTCGAGACTCGAACACGGGTCATCAATGAATAACAACAATTCTTTTATCACGAATATCACTTGGTTCGTGCTCTCTCTCATCATTTTAAAATGGTAGAAAATGTGCCTTCCTTGGCAAATTATTATTTTTCATTAATAGGGGTAAATATAATTCCTAATTATTTGACATTAAAATAACAATAATTTTTTTATTTAAAATCTAAACATGATTTCGATGGAAATGATGAAAATTGGGAAACCGAAAAGTATACGTTACCGACAAAACAAAGAAATGTATAGTTTTAGACTGATATTTTCAAAGGACTGGATTTTAAGACTGGCGAATGGAAGTATGGATGCTTATAGTTGAACGAGTCAAGGCCACTAACTCATAAAATCTGCTACGCGAAAATTGAGATTCTTGAAGCAATCGGTTATAAATCAAGCAACGGCAGACCAACCAAAGTGGATTTGACTACTAGCGTCCTTTAATCCCACTACCAATCTTAGCCCAAAATACGCGTTTTTACTTTCATATGTATTATCCCTTATTCTCATATGAAATGGGATAAGGGAAAATAAGATAGTAGGTTGTTTTCAATATTAGATTGAGAACAATTTTCGTATAAGACCTTCGAATTATGAAATGTCTTCCTATTAAATTTTAAATTAAATAACCTTTTTAATAAAAGATTTGAGTGCTTTGCCTGTAACTTTTTTTTTTACAGTTATTGGTTAACCGGGTCTCGGTGGGAGATTAACAAGACGAGGAAAAGAGTGTTTACTGTTTAATGGTAAATATTTTAATATTTTAACTTTTTATTAAATATTTAAAAGAAGGGGGGTGGAGGAAGAAATTAAGGCGTGAAAGTTCCGCCACTCGCGCCTGTTCCATTGAAAGCGGTGCCACTGAGAAGATTGCGCTACAATTTTAGTTTTCCTTTTTTAAAGTTTTTTGGTTTTGAAATTCCGGATCAACAAACAGCAGTTTGACAGGTGTACCACGAGTGAGCGTAACGTGAGTTTGACGTCAGCAGACCAAATCCTTGGGGTTGTGGGGTGTGGTCCACAGGCTGGGGACCCGAGGTGTGGCCCACGCACGCGTGTAGACTCTCTCCTTTCGCTTTACAACGTGCTCCTTGGCCCTTACCAGCCACCAGCCCAGGTGTACCCCCATTTTTTACAGTGAAGATACCGTATGCTTATCATACACGCGCTTCTGTGCCAGAGAATGTTTCACGCGCGGTAAACAATAAAATAAAATTACGATTAATTATCATATACTAAGTTGATAAAGCTTTATATCGAATATATCTAATGCCGATTTATAAAGTTGAAGCAAAGGAGTAACTCTTTTTTAACTGTCTATAAACTTTAAATCTGTATGCTTTATAAAGAGCAAATTCAATCTACTAATAAAGTGAGAAAACGTACTATTTTAGTATTTTATGTTATAATACATGCAAATGTAAAACAAAATTCATTTTTAACTTGAGTGATTATCATTAATATTGGGTTAAACATTACGTACGTCAGAGATTATAAGTGTTCATTATCAAAATAATTTACATAAATAGATTACCTGAAAACTGTTTTACAAAATTGTTTTACGTAAAATTAATTACATGAAACTGTTTTACGTAAAATGAATTACCTAAACCTACTTTATGTAAAATGAAATGACCATCCAGCTCAGTTGGTAGAGCACAAGGTTCTAAACCTTGAGGTCGTGGGATCAAGTCCCACGGAGGGCATTTCATAATTTGGAGGTCTCCTACGGAAGCTGCTCTCAACCTGGTGTTGGGGGCAGCCTACTATCTTACCTCCCCTTACCCCATACATATGGGAAAAAAGGGACAGCCTACTTTATGTAAAATGAATTACGTTTTTCGGAAATTAATTTTCGGAAAATGTTTGACGGTGTTTTGATGATATTGTGTAAATTATTTTCACTGATTGTTTGATACACTATAATTAATTGTATAGAAAATGATTTACATAAAATGAATAAAAAAGTTTGGTGTGGTTAATATTTTTAAAAAAAATGATTCGATTAACGATTAAAGAAAAAAAAATTTTGTTTATTCGGTTAATCGTAATTCAATTCGATAGGTGGTTGAATTAACCATTTGAACACCCTTAATTTTAATTATTAGTATTTTATGAAATAATTATAAATTATTTATATTAATATTACTCATTATTAATAATTTAATAACATTATATTATAAAACTAATAGATAAATATTAATAATTTATTTAAAAATATAATATCATATATTATTATAGTATATCTGAATATATATTAAAAATATAATATTCTTAAAATTATATTACATGTATATTATAATAAATATTTTTATTAAATGATATTGAAATATTAATTTAATATTAGATTTATAAAATAATATTTTTTGAAAGTTTATACTATGAAGTGAAAAGTTAAGAAAATATTTTACAAAAAATTATATGGTAAACCAATTTACATAAAATACAAAGGAACTGAGAAAATCATTTACATTGAGAAAATCAATTACAACTATGTAACACAGAAAAATGAGAAATATTTTTCCAGAAAATAATTTACCGCTATCAAACACACCCTTAGTTTAGTTTCTAATAATTTTATTGTTATGACATGTTTTTCCTCCATCTTTCACTATGTTTTCATTATCTTTGTCAGTCATTTGATCGTTTTCTTCGTTTAATTTTCTCATGGTTGCCTCAACTTATCAATATGATATTTTATTTGTTATCATCTTTTATATTCTCTACTTTAGACCCTTGGATTATATTTTAATACAGGGATGGACCTAGGCGGGGGGCGGTCGCTCCAAAAAAAAAATAAAATTATCGTATATTTTAGATTTTTTTAATGTATTTTCTATTGAAAATCTTTTTTTGCCCAACCTAAAATTTTATAAGTT